TAAGCGCTTAATTTTACACTTTACAGTTGCGACACTTGTTTTTGGCTCCTTCTTCTTAACGAAATCAATCTCCATCGAACTATCCAAATCTTCTTCCTTATCTAGATCTAGTGATACAACCTCGGTGATTAGAGAAGTATTGCTTGGAGATTCTATCTTTTCCTGGATTAGAGACGCTTGATTCAGTATATTAGCTTTAATAGGGTCTTGGGAGAAATGATCAGGAAAAATTAATTTAAGTTCATTTTGGAGGACTTTACGAATAGTTTCCTCCAATGAAGTTTTAGATATCTTTTTAAGGGATGATTTCTTGAAACTAGAGTCTTGCTTCACTTTTTTTTTGACTTAGCTATATTAACTATGATATCACTTCCAGAATCGGAGGAATCCTCTAAGAGTCAGAACTATCACTAGAAGAAGTATCAGAAGAAGTACCTGAATCCGAATTCGAATCTACGGTAGCAATATTAACCTTACCCTTTTTAGACTTCTTACTTCTCTTTTTCTTCTTTCGAGAGCAGTTTCGAGAATTATGTTCAGATCTTCCGCAGGTGGAGTATTTGTGACCTGATGATTTCTTAACAGCACGTCTAATAGCAGTTTTTATGACACTATTTAATGTTAATTCTGCTAAACTATCTGAAATATCTTCTATAGGATCATGATCATATTCATCGGCAGAGTGTTTACCTTGATTTTTTCTTAGTAAGTCACTCAAAAAGCGATTAATGGCAGTATCTTCTGCTCTCTTCTTAGATGATTTTTTATTATTATCTAGAGTTTTAGTCGCTCGAGACATAGTTTCTTGAAAGGATTTAATGGTAGACTGCAAATCAGCATTTTGTTGAGCCATTTGAGACTCTAAGAATGCCATTGCAGTTTTTATCAAATCCACGATTTCAGTTTTAGTCATTCCTGATTTGTTAGTGTCTATATAGGGATTGGCTGCCAGAAAAGCAGAAAAAGAAGATGGTGCATTTCTTTGGGAAAGTGTAAATTTTTCCGCTTCAGCTAAGGCTCTTGTGATATTTTCCTGAGTATCCTCAAATTTAGCTATCATTCGAATATTATATTGGTTCATAGGATTTAAGCTACGAATAAATTGCTCTCTTTGTTGTTCGGGTGTCATTCCGGCCAATTTACCAACCTTTTTGATTCGAGTGGAGAACTCATCAACACCCATGTCTTCTTGCATGAGTTGACCAAAAACTGCCATTTGTTTTAAGTGTTTAACTGTTGTATAAGAAGTACTAAATAGATAAAGGAGTTGCCCAAGCTTAATACCAGGAGCAATTGTAACAGCAGGGAAACCTTCGCCAGCATTTGGTGTGACTGGTGCATTATCTGTAGGTTTACCACCAGCTATAGACCAGTCTTCATTCCATGTTCCATTCGGAATAATATCAGCACCAGTTGCGACACCTGCTCCAATTCTACCAATTTCTGCTCCAGCTTTGTTACGAAATTCACCTACAGTATTCAAACCACCAATCTGATTACTACTATTTCCAGCACCTATTGCTCGAATAGCAGTTAAAGTAGCTACACCTAAGTTATCTGAGAGATTATTACATCTCCAATTTTTGCCCTTAATGTGGGTATTATACCAATTCAATACAGGGCCCGCAAGACATGATATTACCAATCCAAATGCCTCTTCTCTTCCAGCAACCTGACCTGCACCAGGTGCAACATTTATTCGACTAGCTACTATATATCTTTGCATCTTTCTGAGCCAATCCTCTGGATCTTCTCCAGGACAACCATGAAATATTGGGGTCCGTATTCTACTATTCCTATTCGTTGTATATTAGGTGGGTTATTCTGTAGCGCAAAAATTTGTTGATTTAAATTTAAAATATTCTGGCATTCTGCATGGGTCTTATTTTTCCATTTTTCATATCGCTCATAGAGTCTGTCTCTATTATATTCTAACAAACCTCTAT